TGTGGTTCTAGCTACTTGGAAGGCTGAGGTGGAAGGATCGCCTGAGCCCAGCAGGTCAAGGCTGCAGTGGCCATGAGCATGCCACTGCACTTCAGCCTGGGCGACTAAGTGAGATTCAGACTCAAAAAACAAAATTCCTGTCTCCAGCTAAATCCTACCCCTGGGCTCTGGCCCCAGTTATCCAATGGCCTCCAAAATACCCACACATGGGTCTTGTGAAGGCATTTCAGATTCAGTATGTCCCAAACATCCCGTGATGTTCTGCTACCCCACCTGTTCCTTGGACCCTGGCCTCAGACTTTCCTTCATCCATCATCCCAGCGCCTTGCTCTCACCCAGGCCCTGGGCATGGCCAGTTCATCACCAAGTCACTCCGCTTGCCTTCCTGGCTTTGTTCCCTCCGCCCCACCCACCACGCTCCACTCCAAGTCTCCATCAGTCTCTTGCTTGGTGGCCGAAGTAGCTCTAACGATCCCCCAGGTGCACACGGCAGGTGCCTCTGCCCCATCCATGTTCCTCCTGTTTCCCGAGCTATCCCATGAACGGGACATGGGTTACCCCACATAGACCATCAGCGTCTTCCTGATGCTCTTGGAATAAGTTGCACATGCCTTGCCGCGGCCTGGCAGTCTGGTGCGTTGCCAGCTGTCTAGGCTCTCTCTCTCCTTCCAGCGCCCCAACCCCTGCCATGTGGGACATCTCTCAGATCCCCGGTTGAGCTGCCTGCTTCCCTCCGTGGGCCTTTCCCAGGCTTTTCCCCCTCTCCCTTCCTTGTGGCCCTTCTCCAAGTCACCCACCCTTTGTTCAGATATCAGCTCAAGCGCCATGTCCCCGGGGAGCCCTGCCCACTTCCTGGGCCCAGATCTTTTTCTGTGTACTCATGGAAAGTACACTTAGCACCCTTACCCTCTCTGTAGTGAGGAATGCACACTCAGTGCAGCGTGTCTGCCCGCCAGCGGGAGCAGGCACTGAACCCGGCTTTGCCCCCCGTGGTACAGCCTCCAGGCCTCTTGCCCTGTGACTGGCCCTTGATACATATTTGTCGTCTGCAGTAAGTCAGTGGAGCCATGCCCCCTCCATTCTCATCCAAAGAGCTGCCCTGAACAGTGAGGAGCTTCAGACAAGTGACATCATCTCTTGGGGGTGTCACTGGGAGACAAGGACAGTGACACCTGCCTTGCAAGGTGGCTCTCGGGTTTAATTTTAGAAAATCACTGACTTTTTTTCTTGTGACAATGACAAAAAGGATCATTTTCTTTTTAAAACCTGAGAAGATAAAGCATCATGGCAGCAGCGAGGAGGCCATTAAAGGGAGTGGGAATTAAATGAGACAGGAACAGGGCAGAGCAGTGAGGTAACCCCTGCAGGTCCAGCCAGGACATGGGGCCTCAGCTGGGGCTTGGTGGTGGGGACCAAGCAAACAAAGCTCACCACAGTGCCCAGAGCAAGTCAGGCAGGGGTGGGAGGAGCAGACAGAGATAGGCCCAGGGGCAGATGGCCATAGCCTGTCTTGTCCACTGAGCTGGCTCCCAGGGACTCTGGCCATTTCCTGCAGTGACAGACAGAAAGGGCAGGGGCGTGTCTGCCTGTCACGTGGTTGCTCAGTGCTGAGTTTTCTGAATGGTTTATGCCTTCAGAGCCATGAGGTATACGCAGGGAGTGTGTGTGTGTGTGTGTGTGTGAGAGAGAGAGAGAGGAGAGAGGGAGGAGACAGAGGGAAGGGGTGGAGGGAGAGAGACAGAGAGAGAGAGAGCAAGATAGACACACATACACACATACACACACACAGGGTGCTGAAAGAGAGAGAGAGAGGAGGGAGGGAAGGAGACTGAGGAAGGGAGGGAAGGGAGTGAGAGAAGGACTAAGACAGACAGAGAAACAGAGAGAGAGAGAGAGAGAGAGACAGAGGGGGGGGAGAGGGAGAGACAGACCCACTCAGGCTCCTGAGAGAGAGAGAGAGAGACCCATGCAGGCTCCCATGTCTGTGCCACATTCATGGGCATGGAGGCCACACTTCCACTCCTGACCTCTGCCCTTTCCACTCCTGACCTCTGCCCTTTCCACTCCTGACCTCTGCCCTTTCCCAGGGGCTGTGTCCTGGGTGTATTCTAGCACGCACCTGGGCCCCCACCTGTAGTGGAAGGGGCAGAAAGGCTTTCCCCGGAGATGTGTCCTCCGGTGTGCATGACCCTGGGGGCATCCAGAGACCTGCCTGTTCCCTTTGCACGTCCAGCCTGTTTGCCCAGGGTGGGCAGTGTGGAAAGACGCCCCCAGGGGCGGCTGGCCTTCTCAGTCCAGCGCCTCCTT